TCAATCAATAAAAGCAACATGGTTGAACCTTGAAAACATTATGCTAAGTGAGATAAACAAGATGCAAAATGACAAATATTGTGTGATTCCACTTACATGAGGAAACATGAACAGGGAATTCAGAAACACAGAAGGAGCAATAGAGGTTGCCAGGGCCTGGAAGCAGAGGAGAATGGGAGGTATTATTTCATGTGTATAGGGTTTCCATTCAGAAATGATGAAAAAGAATGCAAGATGGATAGTAGTAATGGTGCACACCATTGTGAATGCACATAGTGCCACTGAGTCTCCATTTTTTTTTTTTTTTTTTTGAGATGGAGTCTCACTCTGTTGCCCAGGCTGGAGCGCAGTGGTGTGATCTCAGTTCACTGCAACCTCCGCTTCCTGGGTTCAAGCGATTCTCCTGCCTCAGCCTCCCTAGTAGCTGGGATTACAGGTGCACGCCACCACACCTGGCTAACTTTTGTATACTTTTTGTAGTAGAAACGTGGTTTCACCATGTTGGCTAGGCTGGTCTTGAACTCCCAACCTCAGATGATCTGCTGACCTCAGCCTTCCAATGTGCTGGAATTACAGGCATGAGCCACCATGCCTGGCAATGTGCTGCTAAGTCTTACACTTAAAATGGTCAATTTTGTTATACATATTTTACCACAATAAAAATATTAATAAAGGCCAGGTGTGCTGGCTCATGCCTTTAATTCCAGCACTTTGTGGGGCTGAGATGGAAGAATTCTGTGAGGCCACAAATTCTAGACCAGTCTGGGCAACATAGCGATGCCCTGTCTCTACAAAAAAATGTAAAAAATCAGCAGGGTGTGGGGGTGCAGCCTGTACTCCCAGCTACTTGGAAGGCTGAGGTGAGAGGATAACTTAAGCTGGTGAATTTGAGGCTGCAGTGAGCTGAGATCGCGCCACTGCACTCTAGCCTGGACACGAGTGAGACCTTGTCTCAAAAGGAAAAAAAAAATAATAAAAACTTTATTATTTATTTTAAATTAATAAAAAGTTTCATAAATAAAACTGTTGCATTTTTTTTTTTCTGAGACAGAGTCTCACTCTGTCCCCCAGGCAGAGAGCAGTGATGCGATCTCAGCTCATTGCAGCCTCCACCTCCAGGTTCAAGCAATTCTCTTGCCTCAACTTCCTGAGTAGCTAGGAATACAGGCATGCGCTACCACACCTGGCTAATTTTTGTATTTTCAGTAGAGATGGGGTTTCACCATGTTGGCCAGGCTGGTCTCAAACTCCTGACCTTGTGATTTGCCCGCCTTGGCCTCCCAAAGTGCTGGGATTACAGGCATGAGCCACCGTGCCTGGCCAACTGTTATAATTTTTTTAAAAAGTAGATTCTTAGGTCCTCCCTTGGAGATATTGATGAGGTAAGTCTGGGATAGAGTGGGAAGCTATATATTAACAAGATCCCCTAGGGTAGCATGGTAAAACCCTGTCTCTAAAAAAAAAAAAAAAAGTAAAAATTAGCTGGGCATGTTAGTGCACTCCTGTAGTCTCAGCTACTCAGGAGGCTGTTGCGGAAGGATTGCTTGACCCCAGGAAGTTGAAGCTGCAGTGAGCTGTGATCACGCCACTGCACTCCAGCATGGGTGACAGAGCAAGACCCTGTCTCAAAAACAAAAACAAAAAACTATAGTATTTTTTTTTAAGTAGATTCTTAGGTCTTCCTTTGGAGATCTTGGCAAGGTAAGTCTGGGATACGGTGGGAAGCTATCTGTTCACAAGATCCCCTCTTTATAATACTTTGATACATCTAAATTTGTGAAACACTGTCCCAGGATACTGGTTCCCAAAAAGATTGTCCTGGGGACCATCACATCTAGAATGTGTCCAAAATGCAAATTATGACTCAAGCTTAGACCTACTGAGACAGAAACTTGAAAGTGGGTTCTGTCAATCTTGTGTTTAAACAAGTCCTTGAGATCATTCTGGTGCAGTCTTCCTTTTGAGAACCACTACCTTTTTGTGAATCGTGGGACCCTTTGCTAACCAACTATCTGCCTGATTATGAAACCTCAAGTCAGGCCGGGCGCGGTGGCTCAAGCCTGTAATCCCAGCACTTTGGGAGGCCGAGGTGGGTGGATCACGAGGTCAGGAGATCGAGACTATCCTGGCTAACATGGTGAAACCCCGTCTCTACTAAAAATACAAAAAACTAGCCGGGCGTGGTGGCGGGCGCCTGTAGTCTCAGCTACTTGGGAGGCTGAGGCGGGAGAATGGCGTGAACCTGGGAGGCGGAGCTTGCAGTGAGCCGAGATCGCGCCACTGCACTCCAGCCTGGGAGCACAGCGAGACTCCGTCTCAAAAAAAAAAAAAAAAAAAAAAGAAACCTCAAGTCAGAAAATGCTGGCCAGGTGTGGTGGCTCACAACCATAATTGAGCATTTTGGGAGGCTGAGGTAGGCAGATCACTTGAGGGCAGGAGTTCAAGACCAGACTTCCAGCATGGTGAAACACCATCTCTACTAAAAATACAAAAGTTAGCCAGGCGTGGTGGCAGGCGCCTGTAATCCCAGCCACTTGGGAGGCTGAGGCAGGAGAATCGCTTGAACCCGGGAGGTAGACATTGCAATGAGCCGAGATTTCGCCACTGCACTTCAGGCTGGGAGACAGAGTGAGGTTCTCTCTCAAAAAAAAAAAAAAAAAAAAAAAAAAAAATTGCTGACAGTTGTCACCAAAGGTGATTCAAAGTAGACTAGAGTAATTCTTCCCAAAGGAGAGGGTACAGGAGACAGGAATCACAGCTGGCCCCATTGATAGTCTCCCAGGGATAAGGAATTGGCAGTTCAGAAACCTCTTGTGTAGTCCCTGCCCTTGAGGAACCAAACTGATCAGGGAATGAATAAGCCATTGACCAATTTGTCTAACAAGCTTCAGAGGGGATACACCCTCCCAGGGCCCAACATTCAACTTATTTACTTACAGTCACCCAGGCCTCCAGGCGCAAGGTCCAAGACACTCATGTGTTCTCCAGGAGAAATCATCCAGGCCCTGTAACACCTGCTGGGCTCTCTCTTCCTGCTCTTTTGGAGGGTAGAGCTTCTGTCTTCATCACCTACTTCCACGAGACAACAAGATTCAGGGGAGGTGGCTCCTGTGGTGGGTCCACATTGCCAAGCCAGCATAGCCCAGTAAGTGTTGAGGGAAACAGGGAAAAGAGATGATTGAGGGGAAAGGCATTGACTTGTAATCACAGGGCAGGAGAAACACTGTGATGTCCATGAAGAAGCAGCTCTTGAGGCTGATTTCTTAGAAGGGAGAATGGCTAGACTATTTGCTTAAGTTGCCATTACATAATGAGCTTTAACTTTGCCTGTATATTACTTGGGTGGATGACTGATGGAGATTTTAGGAAGGGCTACTGTTTGTTGGCCTGGGGCACTCTTTGATATCATAGTGCTGCCCTGGATCACTCTGTGTGGTCTTACAGTGAGCAATCTGCATTGTACAAATGGATGCCCCAAGGTATTGATAGAGCTGTAGGTGCCTTGCAGTGAAGTCCTGGTCATTTCTAGTTCTTTTCACTTACTACTTGACCCAAGAACTTCAGAGGCCCTCTGCCTAGATCAAGCCTCTCTGCATTCTTCTCTGTGACCCTCACTTGCTTGGAAACATCTCCTGCTTCTCCAGAAAGACTTATCCTTCCCCATCTTTCTTTACCCTTATCCATGGTTCTAAGTAGACAAGCGTCTGTGTTCCCTGGAATCAAAGGCCATAGTGTATAACAAGTAGGGTAGGGTGGGTGAGTGAGGGAAAGCGAACGGCTCAGGCAAGCCCAACATCCAGTCTCCTCTTGACATCATATCCTCTGGGGAACGCAAGGGAAGCACTGAAACCCGCAAGATTCTTTTCCATAATTCCCTTCATTTCACTTGAGTGTCAAGTCTTGTCCTTAAGCTGAGATTGTTAGCTCGACCTCATTCCTTTACCTCTCCTGGCCTTTGTGTTTCTTCTGTGAAAATATTCCTGAGTTGTTCCCCTCAACTCTAATGATATGAGGAATCCCCAACCCCCTGTTCCCTTGTCCTCAGTTTTGCTTGCCCTAAATCCATCTTTCCCTCCAAGCCCCAGAGAGAATTGCAATTCCTATCACATTACTCCTTTGATTGCAGTTCCTTCACAGCCCCATCCTTTATGGATTATACTTTGCAAAGTTCTTAGACATGTCATCCCTGCCCACCTCTCCAACATCATCCTCATCATTCTTATCCAACACCGCGCTTAAGCAGCAGCAAAGGGCTAAGAGAACTCTGTCCCGTGCTGCTTCTTGCTTCTAGGCTTATTCCCTTGCTTATATCTCTGCCAGAAACGCCCCTGTGCAACCCTTCACCTGGGTAACTCCTTGCCCGGGTATTCCTTCCTCCAGGAGTCCTTCCGTGAGTGCATTCCTCCAGGCTGGGTTGAGGAATCCTCTCTGTACTCCACTCTGCACATCGTTTTATTTTAGCACTTAGTTCACTGTGTTACAATGATCTGTTTCTGAATCCATCTTCTGGAAGGTGGAACCATAAGAAAAAAAAAGACCACATCATTAATCTTTGACGCCCAACAGCTAACACTTAGCCTCGCCCAAAGAAGACCCTCTTACGGAATGACTTTTAGCACTTTTTCAGTGACTGACAACCTAGTTGTCAACCTAGTTCAATTATTCTATACTCCCCAGCATGGCTCAACACAAATTGTACACCAGGCCAGGCGCCGTGGCTCATGCCTGTAATCCCAGCACTTTGGGAGGCCGAGGTGGGCAGATCACCTGAGGTTGGGAGTTCAAGACCAGCCTGGCCAACATGGTGAAACTAGCTAGTTTTTTACAAAACTAGCTGGGCGTGGTGGTGCGCACCTGTAATCCCAGCTACTCAGGAGGCTGAGGCAAGAGAATCGCTTGAACAAGTGAGGCAGAGGTTACAGTGAGCCGAGATTGCACCACTGCACACCAGCCTGGGTGACAGGGTGAGACTCTGTCTCAAAAAACAAACAAACAAACAAACAAACAAACAAAAACACAACAACAAAAGCAGAAAACCAACAACAAAAAAAACCTGTGCACCAACACTAGACAACAAAAACACATTAGGCCATATTTATTATGTGGATGGAAAGAGAGAATTCCTTCCTTCTTTCCCTCCTCCCTCCCTCCTTCCTTCTTTCCTTCCTTGAAAAACCTAAATCCACTCATCTTGCAATATTCTGCCTAGCTATTATCTCTGCTTTCATATTTTCTCACTGTTCAGACATAGTGGTCTGACCTTCCTCAGTCTTAGTTGTGTCTTAGACAAGAAGATGACCCTGACCTTTTCTTAGGTTCACTGGACCTTATGTGTGTTAGAGCAGGTACGGACCATTTTATCTCTAAGGTCTAAAGTTGCTCTTATCTTGGTAGATTTGATGATGCTAAAGCAGAGAAAAAGGGAATGGGTGGGTCTCCAAGAGGCCAATGAACAGGCGTTAGTCAACATCATGAAATGTTGCCTATAACAAATGACAGAATGTAGGATTCCTAAGTTTTGCAATTTTAAAGCTTTTGTACCCAATTATTATCCTCAAGAAATAAAACAGCAGAGAGATTTTGAAGCCTATTCAGCAACTATTTCATGTTTCTTCCCTTCCTTAACTGTCTAGCTGATGTGTTGGCAACATGGACTTGGGAAATCAAACAAGGGTTTCAGAATTTTTACTCCTGGGATTTTCCCAGGGCCTAGAGGATCAACAGACGCTCTTCGCACTGTTTCTGTCTATGTACCTGGTCACAGTGCTGGGGAACCTGCTCATCATCTTGGCCGTCAGCTCTGACTCCCACCTCCACACCCCCATGTACTTCTTCCTCTCCAACCTGTCCTTGGCTGACATCGGTTTCACCTCTACCACAGTCCCCAAGATGCTGGTGAACATCCAGGCGCAGAGCAATGCCATCAGCTATGCAGGCTGCATCTCTCAGATGTATTTTTTCATGGTTTTTGGAGGCATAGACACATTTCTCCTCACCGTGATGGCCCATGACCGGTATGTGGCCATCTGTCACCCCCTGTACTACCCTGTCATTATGAACCCCCGCCTCTGTGGCCTGCTGGTTCTTGTGTCCTGGTTCCTCAGCTTGTCATACTCCCTGATCCAGAGTCTATTGATGCTGCGGGTGTCCTTCTGCACCACTTGGGTCATTCGGCACTTTTACTGCGAGCTTGCTCAGGCCCTCACGCTTGCCTGCTCAGACACACACATCAATTACATCCTGCTCTACGTGGTGACCGGCCTTCTGGGTTTTGTGCCCTTCTCAGGAATCCTTTTCTCCTACACCCAAATTGTCTCCTCCATCCTGAGAATCTCATCCACAGATGGGAAACACAAAGCCTTTTCTACCTGCGGATCTCATCTGTCTGTGGTTTCTTTATTCTATGGGACAGGCCTTGGTGTGTATCTTAGTTCCAATGCATCGTCGTCTTCCTGGCGGGGCATGGTGGCCTCGGTCATGTACACTGTGGTCACCCCCATGCTGAACCCCTTCATCTATTGCTTGCGAAACAGGGACATCAAGAGGGCCCTAGAGAGACTGCTTGGGAAAATGCTCTATGCTCGATGACGGGAAGATTGGTCCTGGGTTTCTGAGTTGGCAGAGGTAGCAGCAGTGAGCTAAAGAAATCTGGACCAGCCTGGGCAACATAGCAAGACCCTGTCTCTACAAAAAATATATAATAATTAGCCAGGCATGGTGGTGTGCACCTGTGGTCCCAGCTACTCAGGAGGCTGAGGTGGGAGGACCCCTTGAGCACAGGAGGCTGAGGCTGCAGTGAGCAGAGATTGCGCTACTGCACTCCAGCCTGGGCAATAGAGCCAGACCCTGTCTCAAAAACAACAGCAACTAAAGAAATTCTGCCTACAGGCCAGGCGCAGTGTCTCACACCCGTAATCCCAGTGCTTTGGGAGGCTGAGGCAGGAAGATCACTTGAGACCAGAAGTTCAAGACCAGCCTGGGCAACAAAGATAGTAAAATGTCTCAAAAAAAAAAAAAAAAAAAAATTCTGCCTCTTAATCTCATGGAATTTGTTTTCTCTGTCTTAAGTCAATATTACCTTTGTGAGTAACTGTGAGTACTTTGTATGAGTCTTATACAGAGACCTTCTCCTGTTTCTTTCAGTTCTACCTTTCATCCTCCTCCTTTTATATTTTCCATGACTACACCTCAGCTTGGTGTTTGTAGATTTGTATTGATTCCTGAGGGTTAATACAGCAAGTTCAAGTACTCAACTCAGACATGTTGGATAAAAGTTATGAAGTAGTTCATTTTACCATTTAACCATTGCTAGCTCTTATCGAGTTCATCATTCATGACAATCTTTTTTTTAAACCTTTCTCAGTGATCCTTTGACAGTATTTATTGGACCTTATAGTGTGCCAGGCTGTTCTAGGTGCCTGGGATACAGAAGTGAAAATAAATTCTTGCCCCATAGAGTTAAATCCTGCAATCTTAGAATGTCATTTCAGATCATGTTATATGTCCAAACTTAAAATAGACTGACTGGATAAAATAATTTATTTCCTTATTAGTGAGATTGAGGATTTCTCCATATGTTTTGTTAAGTACATTTCTAAAATAAGTTTGATAGCCTCTAAAATAAATAGGAGACCTTTTCTCTTACGGAAAAAAAAAAAAAAAAAAAAAAAAAAAAAGCTGGGCATGGTGGCGCACCCCTGTAATCCCAGCCACTTTGGGCAGGCGAGGCGGGCAGGATCACGAGGTCAGGAGATCGAGACCATCCTGGCAAACACCAGTGCAAACC